CAGGGGAGGGTCCGATAGCGAGGTGGCCGTCACAACCCCGTGCCTCATCTTGGTTGCTGGGTTACACGGGCTAGACATGAGGCACTGGGTGCCGGCCACGCACGGGGACAGGGTGACACGAGGGAGCGGTGGGATCCCGGGGCGTCTTAGACGCCAGCACCACACCGGCTGGCTGAGCGTGAGCCTCTCGCACGGCAGGCCCCGCAGAGGACACGCCCCAGACCCACAAGCACCCTGCGCTTTTTGTCCTTCCCCTTCCCAAGTGGAAGTTGTAAAAAAAATTATGGTTACTCTCTCTTCCTTTCTATTGTGAATTGTGTGTCTTGAGGGTGGTCTCCATGGCCCACCCTCATGGCTGGAACCGTGTCCCCCCAGTATTCACACGTCGAACCCCTAAGCCCCCCGTTCGGCAGGGTGCGACTGTGTCTGCAGACAGGGTCTTTTTTTTCTTTTTTTTTTTTTAACTGGGAATGTGTGAGGCAGGAAAACAAGGCTGCCCAGCTCGAGGCAGTCCTGACAGTGATCCTCTGGGGTTCATCTCGGCCTCTGTCCTTGGCTGCGGAGAAACTGGACCCCCGACAGCCCCAAGGGAGAGAGGCCCTTGCAGACAGGGTCTTAAGTTGCAGCGCGGTCACTAGGGGGGGCCCTGACGCAGGACTGCTGTCCTCAGGGGAAGGGGAAGCCTGGACAGGGACAAGTGCACACGGCGGGGCCACCACGCAAGGACACCGGGAGAAGACGGCCCCCTGCACGCCAAGGACGGAGGCCTCAGAATGAAGCCCACGCCGCTGACACCTTGAGTTTGGACTTCCAGACTCCGGAGCTGTGAGGAAATAAATTCCTGTCGTTCGAGCCACCCGGCAGCCACATGGCAGCAATGCCGGTCCTGAGCGGAGAGGAGGTGAGAACCCGCGGGCCCGCGGGAGGGAGGCGTGAGCGGCCACAGAGCCCGGCTCGGGGCTCGGGAGGCTGACCCTGCGGCTGCCCTTGTCACCTCTTTGGGGGAAGGGGAGTCGTCTTCTGCTGTGAGCAACGCAGCTACAGATTTTGGGTGGGAGCACTTAAAATTCAGACGTGGGAGAGAAGAGGGCGTGTGGACGGAGGGGAGGAACGTGGTCACTCTTCCGTCTGCCTGATTCACACCGGTGGGGCCAGGTGGGACTGCTGCCACCTGTCTCCCCAGGCCCTGCCTCCAGCTCCCGGGGAGGGCACGTGACCCGGGCCCGGCCAGCGAGCGTGGCATCAGGACTGTGGTTGGCATTACCCGGAGAGGGGTGCACGCTTTCTGCTGGAATCGCTGAGTTCGTAGAATAAACTGGAAACTGCTGGTTACCTGCCGTTTACTTTATTTGTGGAGAATACCTGAGACACAGCCCAGAGCAGAGGTGGAAAACAGGAAAAGGGATGTGGCCTAGAGAACATCATTCGAGGCCCCGGATCCAGCTGCATCTGAAGCCAGATGCAGTTCCAGAATCACTTCTGGAACTTTCCGAGTGAGTCAGAAAATTCCCTTAAACACACATATGCCCTCCCCCGGCCCCCCAAGCCAGATTAAACCCGCTTTCTGTTACTTGCCACCAAGGGTCCTGGCTGATGTGGTGTGAAAATCTGCCTGGGACACCGATCTGCAGTGGCACAAAGCGGGGATGAGTGGCCGGTGCCCAGTGGCGCTGGGAAAGTTTTCCGGGGGATGACGAACATGTTCTTCCTGATGGGACAGAAAAATTCCATACATGGATTTGGTGATGCCATGGGCATATAAACACTTGTCAAAGATCATCGAACTATATGTTAAAATGGGTGCATTCAATTGTATTTAAGTTAGGTCTCAATTAAGTTATTTACAAAGACTTTTTTTACAAAAAAAAAAAAAAAATCTGCCTGAGTAGGTGAGCCCTCTCTGGAATTGCCAGGAAACTCCGGGCCGGCACCCTGACTCATCCACGCAGAGTTTCTGTGCGTTTTGCTTCTGTGAACTGCGCCCCGTTGTGTTCAAGTTCTCCAGCGTTCGAGCCCCTCCTGGCTTAAAATGTAACGTCTTTGCCCTTGCGCTCTCGGTGGCTCTGATTTGGGAAGATCTGAGCAACGTGTTTGCTTGGCCTCCTGGCCTTGTCACCGACGTGTCGAAGGCAGGTGTCCCGGGCCTGGCCTTCTCCCAGAAAGGGACCCCCCCTCTGTGCGCCGCTCTCTGGGGGAGCCCATGGCTCTCTGGGGGAGCCCATGGCTCCTGGGAAGGAGGAATCGTCCTGGCCGAGGATTCAGAACCAAGTCGTGCAGAAGTGAGAAGATCTTGGGCTTCAAACTGCTGGCATAAAATATGAAGCCCAACTTATCTGCAAACCGCGGCTGGCAGGGGACCCGGGCGGGCTGGGCGGAGGCCAGGGCGGCATTCCATTTCCTTTTGCAAGCTCGGGAGACGGAGCCAGGAGAGGCGCTGTCTGCTGAGCACCGCGGTCCCGGCCCCGCTTTGTGTGGGACCGAGCCCTCCTCTGGTCTCGCTAGACTGCAGAAACCAAGGAGGCCCGTCTGGTGGTCCTAGGGCTGTGGCGGGCACGTCCCTTCCACACCATGGACCTCCCCGAAATCCTGACTCCCAGCGCTTTTCGGATGGGGGTGCAAAGGTCAGAGGCCTGAGCTGGGGGCCACAAGCGGCCTCCGTGGGGGCCTTTGCACAGGGACGGGGCTCCAGCCGGGGCTGCCCACCAGGGCGGCCGACCATTTGTGAGCCCCACCTTCCACACCTGGTGTGACTGTGTGCACCACGTAGCCCCGTCCTGGGAGCAAACGGGACAGTCACGTGAAGCTCCTAGCCCAGAGCCACCGCACGGGCTGGTCCCCAGCAGGCGGCAGTCTCTGCTCGGTTCCGGCCACTCACGGGCATGTCCCCCTTCAGTGACACGCAGGCAGGCCGGCCACTGCTCCAGGTGTTTACGCAGGCTCCGTGAGGCCTGGGCTGTCGTAGCTGAGGAAACCGAGGCAACCGAGGCACAGCAAGACCGAGGCTTAGGTGGCGGCCCCTCTGCCTCCCTGGGGCTCGCTCTCAACTTTCCAAATTTGGCCTTGTTTATCCCTTGTGTAATCTAAGAGAGCCTGTGTCTCCACTTGCTTATTTTTGTAGAGGTAGTGGGTGGCGGGATGGCATGAAAACGCGTAGAGGTCCGCCCCGCCCCGTGGCACCCCTGCCCCGTGGCCCCCAGCCCTTCCCCCGCTCCCCTGCATGCCACGTGGCGCTGGGAAGCCGGCTTAGCAGTAACCAGAGCAGCCAGAAACTCCTTAATAGGAAGGACAGTCCCCACTCTCCACTCTCCGTCCCGCCACCTGAGGCCCGTCCCTGGCCCGGAGCTGCGGGAGGGAACTCTGACAGGGTCCCCAGACCCCCGGCGTCCTGCGTCACCAACACCCAGAAGGAAGGAGGCTTGGTTGCCGCTGGAGAACCCAGCCGTGCCGCCGTGGAGGGTGGACGCCTGTCCCCCCAGCCCCCGGTCCTCCCCAGCCCCCTTCAGTAATAAAAACGGTGGGGGCACGTGGCCGAGCCTGTGGCTTCTCGCATTTTGTCCTCTGCTGCCTCCCTCCGTCAGCACAGACTGAGAGGCGGCCCAGGAGGTGAGGGGGTCATCCTGGGGGCTGGTGGGGGCGTGGAGGGGAAGAAAGCTCGCTCCCTGGCTTGCCTGTAGTGATCCACGCACAAGAAGGGTCTGGAGCAGGCGTCCGCAAACTACAGCCCGCCGAGTGTTTTTGCCGCCGCTGCCTGTCCTGCTTAGCAGCCGACTTGTCCCAGGCCCTCAGTGCGCATGTATAGAATGTGCGCCACACTCTCCAACGGCCCTCCAACGGTCTGAGGGACAGTGAACTGGCTCCCTGTTTAAAAAGTTTGAGGACCCCTGGTCTGGAGGCTGGGAGAGGCCCTTTCCCTGGAGCTCAGCCCCACCCCTCCTGCCTCAGTATCCCTGAGAGCAGATGCCTCTTCCTAGAGTCACACCCAGACTGCTCCTGACCTCCAAGCCCTAGGTTCTGAGCTGTAGAAGCTGGACCCAGGCAGGGGCCCCTTCCTTCGGGGGGAGCAGCTCCTCACAGGGTGTGCAGGGCTGGAGGCCGGGGTCTGGGCTCGTAGGGGGCCAGGAGCCCAGGTGGCCTCCCGGGCCACCTGCAGGACGGGGAGGTATTTCCAGCCACGTGGAGGCTGAGCTTGTGCAGTCAGTGCTGGCGCTGGTGGGAGCTTTTGCTACCGGACAGGGTCCCAGCCCGCCCTTCACGTCTGTCCCCAGAGCCCCTCCTGGCCTCTCCAAGTCCCCAGAAATGAGCTTTCAGGCGTGGGGGTCTTCAACTCTGCTCTTCTGGAATTTTCAGACCAGCACAGGGAGGGGGAGGTAGGAGGGTGGGGGCACTCACTCCAGGCACTGAGAGGGGGTCCACACTCGACCTTCATCACCTGGAGGTCCTGGAACCATCGCCTCCAGCCCATATAGGGTCTCCTCTTTCTGTAGGACCATGGCCTCGCTGGGAAGACCACCTGGGAGTGTTAGAAAGGGGAGCTCAGAGGAGCAGTGGCCTGGAGTGGACGGGAGGGCAAGTCAGGCTGGCTGGGCAGCGGGCCATCGGGGACACTGACTGGTGGCTCAGCCCACCCAGGGCAAGGCCAAGCAGGCCCCAGGTCATGGGTAGAGTGCCAGGTGCCGTGTGGGCCGCCAGCCGCTGGCACAGAGTAGGGGAGACGAGGTTCCCAGGGGCGGCGGGGGCCCTGGCGGGTGGGAAATGCCATTGGCAGAAGCCGGCAGAGGACAGCCTCGCTGACCAGGGCTCTCCGTGGCAGAGGAGTGGGCAAGCCACCAGGAGAGGGAACACACCACGGGTGGACAGACCAGCCAGAGGAGGGGCCCAAGACCAGAGGTGGGGAGCAGAGTGGCAGGAGAGCTGGTGGCAGGCACTGCCTGTCCTGGGACCCAGTGCCCTGGGGCACCCTTGCCGTGGGAAACTGAGACCCTAGACAGGACAGCTGGCACTGAGCCTTCCTCGCTGCAAGTTATAAAATGTTTATTGGTACACATTTTATTGTCTTTTATAAAACTTCCTTTGGCTACATGAGGCCACGGTGCCTGTCTCCGGGTGGCCAGGGCAGAACGCCATTTTCGGCGGGGCTAGAGCCAAGAGACTGTCCAGGAGCTGTCCAGAGGGTCTGCAGTGGCCTCGGGGACACATCGAGGGCTCCAGGAGGCTGCCCAGGGCTGGCCTGGCACGGAGTCGGAAAAGGCAGTCACCTACCCAAGGTGGCTAAAGGTCCCTTCTGTCTCCAGTGGCTCGCCGGGCCCAGAAATTCCATTATAAAGTCACCAAGTGATTCATCCAAGGGGCAGGAAGGTTGTCTGGAGAGAGACTTAGCTACAAAGGCTCTCTTCCAGACAGAGCCTCTTGTTCGGGTTTGCTCCCTGATGTCGCCTCAGCAGGATGGAACCGGGAGAGCAGCCCCCGGTGGCGCTGATGAGGCTGCTGACCCAGCGACGGAGGGTTGACCAAAGGGGCAGGCTGGATGGGGCAGGGCGACTGACTACCTCCTCTCCTTTACTGACCGGCCCGGGGCGAGGAGGGGCCCCACCACTTGGGGGCAACTTCCCCCCAAGGAAGTTGGGTCGTTTTAGGAGCAGAATGGCTGGGGGAGCCAGGCGGGGGCCGCAGGGTCTGTCTGCAGGTGGCTGCTCAGTCCCTCGGCCACCCATGGGAGCCTCCGGCCCAGGCGCTGGCCTCTCAGGAGGCGTTCCCAGGGGGGCACTGCATCTCCATGGTGACCGTGTTGGGCGTGCTGCCCCCCGCCTCCCCCAGCTCGGCGCCGTCGCGCAGGGCCCGCTGGAAGACCACCCTGAGGGGCTCCCACAGCCGCTGCGACTTGTCCCTCCCGGCCAGGAAGTAGACGATGGGCTTGGCGCTGCTGTTGATGCAGATGCACAGGTCGGTGACGTACTCAGGGAAGGGGGCCGGGATCTGGAAGGCCCAGAAGAGGAACCAGTCGATCCCCAGGTAGATGGAGGACACGAGGAAGACGGAGACCATGGCCAGGATGACGTGGTTGAGCTTGGCGGAGCGCTGGCGCCGCCGGGCCCGGCACTCCACGTGCACGATGAGGGCCAGGCAGGGCAGCACCATGAGCGGGCAGAAGAGGAGGAAGAGGAGGATGCCCAGGAAGATGTCCATGTGCCTGCAGGCCGGCCGGGAGGCCTCTCGGCCCAGGAACACGCAGAAGTAGTTGTGTATGCAGGTGACCAGGAGGGACAGGATCCAGAGCAGGGCGCACACCACGGCCGACAGGCGCTTGGGCCGCCGGCGCCAGTACCAGGCCGAGAAGATGACGGACACGCAGCGCTCTGTGCTGATGGCTGGCAGCAGGCTCACGCCGGCGACAAACATGCAGAGCCCCAGGACCCGGGTCACGCTGCGGGAGTAGTCGGCGAACGCGCCCAGGAAGCCGCCCGTGTTCAGGATGGAGAACACGGCCTTGCTAAAGAGGTAGCCGACGTCGGCGCCGGCCAAGTGCAGGAAGTAGACGGAGAAGGGGTTCCTCTTGATGGAGAAGCCGAAAAACCAGAGCACCAGCCCGTTGCCCACCAGGCCGCACAGGCAGAGGAGCAGGAAGATGTAGTTCATGACGGCCGGGGGCGGCAGCACCGTGATCTGCTCGATGGTCAGGAAGCCTCGGCTGTAGAGCTCCGGGGCCTCGCTGGCGCCGGGACACATCTGTGCAGGTGCAGAGGGGAGACGCCGGGTGACGCGGGCTGGGCCCACCCGCAGACCCGCGCCCGGGCCCCATTAGAGACTTAGGGGCGGTCTGCAGGGTCACCGACTGTGGGACAACTAACTGGCCGCAACACAGGCAAAAGACACCCCTGGCCCCACACGCTGCTACTCTCTGTGTCCCGGAGTCCAGAGCTGGCAGCGCGGCGCGGCAGGCCCGCGAGTGAGGGTAGCGACAGTCGCTCGAGGGGAAGGGCTCCCGGGCGCCCACCCGTCGGAGCAGGCTCTGTCCAAAAATGGCCATGGCATGCAAGACAAAAAAAAAAAAAAACCTGAGGAACTTTTCCAGATTTAAGGAGAACAGGCTGGGGTGCAGTGGCTCACGCTTGTAATCCCAGCACTTTGGGAGGCCGAGGTGGGAGGAGCACTTGAACCCAGGAGCTGGAGACTGGCCTGGGCAACACAGCAAGACCCTGTCTCTCCAAAAAATTTTTAAAAATTAGCTGGGTGTGGTGGTGAGCACCTGTAGTCACAGCTACTCGGGAGACTGAGGCAGGAGGATCAGCTGAGCCCAGGAGTTCGAGGCTGCAGTGAGCTGTGATCACGCCACTGCCCTCCAGCCTGGGCGGCAGAGCGAGACCCTGTCTCACTCTATTATTTATACATAATTTATGTATAAATAAATACACACATACATATATAAATAACTTGTCGGTTAAATAAAAAAGAGTGGGTCCTGGCTATAGCTGGAGCAGGACCCCGTCCCATAGGGGGCTCAGAGGTGGCGCCCGGCTGGACCAGTGTCACTGTTTGGGTTTTTGGGTTGTGGGAGGGTTCGGGGGGTCCCTGGGGAGGGGAGGCAGAGCTATTTATCAAGCTGTAGGAAGCAGTTTGATGCTTTAAGGATGGGTCTGGCTGTAAGAGTGCCTCCCGGCTGAACAGCCGTGCCGCCCCAGGGGCCAGGCCGGCGTGTGGATGCAGGAAGGAGGGCCAGGTGCCAGGAGCCGGCGAGGGCCGGGGGGTGGCAGACTGGACAGCACCCATCTTGGGCAAAACGGGCGGCCGTTCTGCTCCAGCCGCTGGGCGCTGGGAGGCTGAGCTCACTCCCTCTCCGCGGAGAAGCCGGAGCTCTGGACTGCAATGTGAAAGATCCTGATCCACAAATGTCAGCATTTAAAAAGCACTGTGCGGGCCAAACACGGCCATCGACATGCCGGAGTCGGCTCTCAGGCGGCGGTTTGTGGCCTCTCGTGCCCAGAGGCGAAGGCTGCCTGCCCGGGGCTGTCTCACTGCCCTTCCCACACCCTGGCGGACTCCTGGTCCACCCGCACGCGCTCCCTGAGGCCGGGTCCCTGCCCACTGCTCGTGGCTCTCCAGCCAGTCCTGCCACGCCCCAGGTGGCCCCAGCTCCGGCAGAGGGCCGCGGTCCTGAGCCTGCTCTCTGGGCTTGACGCCACCTCGCACAGGGAGGGACCTTCTGGCCTGGCTCAGGCCAAGGGCGTTCTGCAAACAAGGACTGGTGGTGCTGGCAAAATTGTGGGGCAACCCAGTGAGGTCAGGGCAAGCACTGTAAGGTGGGCCCCCTCGCTGCCTGCCGTCCTCTAAATGCGCTATTGGCTCAGCCCCGGCCACTCCTCAGCTCGTCCTGGCTTTCCTTTCCTGTGGGCGACTTGGTCACTCCAGGCCTCAGGCACTCCTCCCACCTGGGGAACCAGCCCCTGTCATTGCTAAGACTGGCGCCCACACGGGCCGGAGAGGGACCAGCTCAGACCCTGGGAGGGAGCGGGCTGGACGGAGTGGGGTCAGATCACTCTGTGCGCTCGCACGCTGGAAAAAGCCTGCAATCCCCTCCTCGGAGTCAGAGGGGGAGGCCGGGTGAGTCACTGGCACGGAGCTGCCATTCCCAGCCACATCCCGCCTTGTAAAACGCCTGCTCTGGAGCCCGGCCCTCCCTGAGCTCTGCCTTTGCTCTGGGGATTGCTGGAGCCTCCCCACAGCCAGCCCTATCTCTGCCTCCATGGCGCCATCCCACAGCGGTCACCATGGCGACAAGGGGAGAGCCCGGGTGCAGCAGGGGCGGGATCCTAGGGGCTCTGTCCCTGACCTATGGGCCGACCCCAGGCAACTTACTACCCTGGTGTAAGCTCAGTCTCCTCGAATATAGAAGTGGGACTGGAGATTCGAGGGAGCCTTCCAATTTGAGAGTGCTCTGTCTGGAATTCAGAAGGAAATTCCAGATTTTTCCAGGAGCTCAGAGAAGTAGGGGACTAGGTAGGGGAGGGTGGAAGGAGGTAGGTCAGCCTGGAAGGGTTGCCCGAGTCTCAGGGCGGGAGCCTGGAGAGGGAGGTAAACCCATGACTGAGGGGTCCTGGCCAAGGTGACGCTGGCAGGTGGCCCAGAGCAGGCAGGCTCCGTGGAGCTCACTACATCTGGGCCACCTGGCCACCCAGGGCTTCCTGGCAGGGCCTGGCCACAGTGCATAGCTGCCCGCCCCACTTCTGCATGGAAGAGATGAGACGAGACCTTGCAAGGCTGGGAAAGATGACCCCAGGGTCAGCATGGCAGGGGACTTTAAGGGTGTCCAGTGTCTGTCCATGCTTGTCTCCCTGATGAGGACACTGGGGTACAAGGGACCAGGTAACCAGTGCCAGGCCACACAGCCCAGAGGGGCCCACTGCCCACCGTAAGTCCAGAGCTAGAGGGTGGGGCCTGGGCAGGGGCGGGGGGGAGGAGATGCTGGGTGGGGTCTGCCCCTCCCACCCACAGCCCTCGGGGCACCAGGGCGTCTGCCTGGTGGCACTTGCCTTGTTCCTGTTGCTGGGGTGGGCCTCCCACGAGCAGTTTCCAGCCATCTCCAGGCCTGGCGATCTGGATTCCTGCTGCAGCTCACCACCTGCACACCCACCTGGCAACAGCCGGGAGAGAGGGTGGACGAGGGTGGCAGGGTCCCACCGAGAGTTGCTGTCCACCCGTGCACCACTCAGACCCCTGTGCCCCAGGCTTCCTGGGCCTGTGGCTCTCCAGCTCACCTTAGAGGACAGGCACTCGCCTGGCTCCCTCAGGGCCAGGGCCTTTGTGGGACTGTCTGGTTGAGATTCTGGGGCAGGTCACCCCTTTGGGCACAGCCCCCTCCTGCCTGGGGACCCCTCATTCGGACCCCTGCTGACTCCCTGGAGCCCCGCTGTGCTCACTGGAAATGAGGCCCTCTCTTTCCCCCTCCTCGCTTGGCCTGCAAGATTTCTGGGGCCAGACTGCTTTGGATCCACAGGTATTTACCCACCCACATTCCCTGGGCACCTCCTTTGTGCCAGCCACGTGGGACAGGGGTTCCCAGCAGTCAGCCCAGGAAGGGGAGCAGGGCAGGAGAGGTGGTTCCCGGCAGGCAGCACTTCCTGGAAGAGGAGGCCTTGGCTGGGCCTTGTGTTTGTAACTGCTGAGGTTCGTGGTCTTTCCCCTACAGGTGCCTGGGAGGCAGGACAGTGTGGTCATCAGCATCATTGTCACCACCTACAACCCTAGCGTCAACACATGCCAGCAGGGCTCTGTGCCAGCTGGCCAACACCTGCCATCCCGTCTGGTCCTCGTTACCAGCTGTGAGGCAGGAATTCTCAGTCCCCTTTGAGAATGGGTGCACTCAGGGGCAGGTCACCTGCCAAGGCACACCCCTACCTGTGCACACTCTTGTGTTGTCAAGACTCGAGCAGCTGCAGGGGACAGAAGCACGAGGAGGAGAAGCTCGAGGAAGCCGGCCAGGAGGCCACCAGAGTGCCTGGCTCTAGGCTGAAGGAGGGGATTCCCGGGGGAAGGGGCGACCCAGCCAGAGACCGGTCCACTGTGGCTGGCCAGAGCTCACTGGTGCACCTGCCCTGGGTCCCCTGGAACTGGCACCTGTCCCTCAACCTGACCTCTGACCCCGCAGGCAAGCACTTATTCTTCCCTGCAGTGCAGATGGGGAAACTGAGGCTGTGAATAGAGAAGGGCCTTGCCGGGTCGAGGGCTGCTGGGCTCCTCCTCTCCCTGGAGGGAGAGCTCGGCTCCCTGCTCAGCTCAACTCCCCCGAAATTCCTTCCTTTGCTCCGCAAGGGTCAGCCCGCTCCAGCCCACCAGCCACAGGCACCCGCCCACCGCTGCCTCCTCCCGCCCAGGGCCGGGCCACCATTGGCTGGAAAGGGTGCCCATCCTCGCAGGGGGCCCGCCCCCTCCTAACTCTTGCTTCCCAGAGTGGCAGCACCAGAACAGCCCCCAGGGGCCACTGCGGGCCACCTCACACAGGCCACCTCCTTCTCTCTGGCCCTTTGGGCCTGCACAGCTGAACGGAGCGCCCTGCGCCTTCCAGCCCCAGGCGGGTGTGAGCCTGGCCAGTGGGTGGCTCAGCCTGGGAGCTGCGGGGTGACCCAGCGTGGGAGCACCCTTTTGCCTGGCCGTGTGGTGTGCTTGCCGATGGCAGGTGCTACGCGTGTGCCTCCTTAGTCTCCCTCCCGCCACGCACTGCTTGAGTCCAGTCGGGCCACTGTCCCACTGTCAGGGACAGGCCGAGAGCTTCTCCACGCTGGGCTTGCCCAAGCTGTCCTGTGCCTGCGACCCCAGACCTCCCGCCCACCCACATCCTTCCTGGTCCTGGCCAAGAGCCCCACTCTTCTTGGTGTCCCTTCCAGACACCCACCAACCCTCGGGTCTGGGCCCCCAGCCTTGCCTCCAGGGGTGTCTGACTCTGGAGCCTCACCCTCTCACCCGGTGGCCAGGCAGGATCCCAGCCACACCCACCAGTGCCCAAGGCGGTGGGCTGGCGCCTCCGGCTGCAGGTGGGCATGGGGGAGGGGCTCCCGTCTCGCCGTCCGGCAGACTGATTTGTTCCACCTGCAGTGTCCCTGGTGTGTCCTGCCAGGGACACTCTGAAAAGTGCTTTCACTTGTGCACAGAGAGCTCTGGAAGCCAAGTGGACCCCAGATGAGCCATATTAAAGGACATGTGTGTGACACGTGTATGGGGTGAGAGTGTGACTGCGTGTGAGTGTGTGTGCTCCCTGGGCGGGATCCGGGCTGTGACAGAGCTAGTTTCCACTAGAGCTGACGGAGAAGCTCAGTCACTCCCGATGCCCCCCACACAAGCCCAAGGCTGGCCGGGCCACCTGTCTGCCCCCCAGCCTGCCCTCAGGAGGCCCCTCTTCTCCTTCCACGCCACCCTCCCGAGACACAGCCCTGATGCACGCTGGGGCCGTCCCAGCCCCTCTCCTCGTCCCCCGGCCACCACCTGGCTGGGGCTGTGGGCACGGCCATCGAGGGGCCTGTGTGTGGCTCCTCTGACACAGACCCGTGTTTCCTCACTCCAGGCCCTGGGGGAGCCGAGGCTGGGGAGGCGGTGGGACTGCAGCTGCGGGACCTCCTCGGCCGACCCGGTGGTGTCCCCCCAGGACTGCCCTGCCGCTGCCCCAAGCTGGGGCTCAGTGCTCAGGGAAGTCGGTGAGAGTGGGGGGAGCCGTCTCCCTGTGCTTGGGACGCTGCCCGCTGGGTGTTCCCTCCAGCCCTTCCAGAAAACATGCTTGGGCAGCCAGCAAGGCTGGGGGAGGTTTGGGGGGAGCCCCCACCCCTGGGAGGACGGAGCAGGGGCTGGAAGTGGAGGACGGCTTGGGCTGGGGGCGAGGCCAGCTGGGGGTCAGGGCCTGCCGCGGGAGGGGGCTCTCCAAGATCTCCGTGTCCCTGGAAGCCCTGGAGCCTTGGGATGGGTGGAGGAGGTCCTTCACTGGGTGACAGCCACTCCGGGGTCTCAGGGCTCCCTCTTGGAGCCTTGGGGTTTCTGGGAGCTGCCAGCCTGGACAGTGCCCACCTCGTTTTCCTTCCCTGCCTGGCCCTCACCCCGCAGCCCCCACTTCCCAGAGCACCCTCCCTGGCCCCGGGGCCCCTCGGAGCTACCTGCGGCTGTGCTGATCAGCGGAGCCTCCCCTCTGTGGAGGGCTCCTCCTGCAGCTCCCGCCTCCGGCTGACCCACCAGGGCAGCAGGCCAGCGAGGAGCACTGCCCGGAGCCTCGGAAAATGCGAGCGGAGAGCGGAGGACGAGCCTCGCCTGCTGGAGGAGATGGCTTTGGAAGCAGAATCCGCCCCAAACCCAATTCCAGGCCCGGCAGGAGGGGGTTGGGGGGAGGAGGAGGGGCTGAGCGGGGATGAGGCTTCAGGAAGGAATGCCCCGTTCCTCCTCCTCCAGAGCCCCCCCAGAGTCCCACTGGGAACTCATCTCTCCGCCTGGTGACGTCACGCTGGCCCGAGCACTGCAGCCCCGAGTCCAGCTGTTAATCTCGCTCGCATTCTGCTGCTTGGCAGAGCTGCCCGGGAGAGGGAGCACCGGACTGTGCATGGCCTGGCGCCTTCAGTCTGCTCCCAGCGGGCATTTCCTGGCAGGCTGGGCCAGGAGGGCAGGTCCCCACCCCATCGCTTCAATTTACTGAGGGGCTGATGCAGGGGAGCCGGGCAGCAGGCTGAGGGCTCTGTGCAGGGGCGGTGCAGAATCGGCCGAGAGGTGGGCGACACCACCCAGGGACACCCCACTCCCCCTTCCCACTTGGGATCTGCCGAGGGCCCCCTACGGGCTTATGGAACCAGGAATTCCCTTTCCCCAGCCCTAATAGCAATCAGATGGTGCAAGTGGAAAATCACAGGCTTGGAGCGGGAACTTGGCAGGCTGCGGGCCGGTGCGAGCGCTGCGCAGAGGGAGAATGAGTCAGCCCCCCCAGCCCCCCACAAGCCCCTCAGGGTCCTGGAACGGGCTAGTGCCCAGGGCACCTGGCATCGAGCCCAAGCTGTGAGGACGGGCCCTCTCCTGCCCCGGGCCAACTTTCTCATGGTTCAGGAAGCCCAAGGGAATTCTGAGCGTTCCCTGCAGGAACAAACGGTACCCGGATCGGGGGAGGCGTGCCTCAGTGGGCACCTTGAAGAGAGCCGCCTGCACCTGCCCTCGAGTCCCTGCCTCCTGCTCGTCCAGCCCAAGTGCAAACCTTGGCAGGGAGGAGTCTCAGATCGTTCCCTGCACACCCCAGACCGCTGGCTCCTGGGGTCTCTTTTCTGGGGTGGAGGCCGGAGGGTTCTGGGATGCCGGAGGCTCACAGGCCACACCCGAGGCCGAGAGAGAGGATGGCAGGCAACAGGCAGGGTGGTGACCCGTCCCTCCTCTCCCAGGGCAGCCAGCTGGGGCCCAGCTGGGCCGCTGTTTACATGGGAGGCCGGGGGAGGCCGAACCCAGACAAGTTCCAAGTGTAATTGCGTTTGGACACTTAAAAGGAATTGTGTGAAGTGGGCAGCGGCTCTGAAGTCCACCGCCTTATTTGGTATGGAAATTTGTTTCTCTCAAAATAAGCAAGAGGTGCTTGCAAACGGGAGAGCGTTTGTGGAGCCCCGCTGCCAAGGTCTCGGTCCGCTGGGGCGGCCGCAGCACAGTCGCGCAGGCCGGCTGGCTTCTGAGCAACGCACGGTCGCTCCCTGTGGTCCCGGAGGCTGGGCGTCCGAGATGCAGCCAGCGGCAGATTTAGCGTCTGGGGAGGACCCGATTCCCGGTTCATCCACAGGTGTCTTCTTGCTGTGTCCTTACACGGTGGAAGGGCAAGGGAGCTCTCCGGGGCCTCTTCTGTAAGGACACCAGCCCCGTTCATGGGAACTCCGCCCTCACGACCTGCTCGCTGCGTGGAGAGAAGGTTTCCCGTGTCAATTCCAGGCGTGGGGTGCGCAGACACTCCGTCTGCAGCAGGCACCCTGTGTTCCCCGGGCAGTGGGGGCTGGGCTGTGGGATGGGCCCAGAGGCCGAGCTCCTGCAGGCACGGTTGGAAAGAGCTCCAGCGGCTGCCTCTGATCTTGGGTGACCTCGGTCAGCTCGCCTTCCCACCCTGAGCCATGGTTTCCTCACCTGTCAAGTGGGATAAAATAATGACGCAGGCTGGGAGTGGCGGCTCGTGTCTATAATCCCAGCGCTTTGGGAGGCCAAGGTGGGAGGATCCCTTGAGGCCAGGAGTTGGAGATCATCCTTAGCAGTGTAGCAAGACCCCATCTCTACAACAGATAGAAAAGTCAGCCAGGCGTGGTGGCGTGCACCTAGATTCTCAGCTGCTTGGGAGGAGGCTGAGGCACGAGGGTTGCTTTAGCCCAGGAGTTGGAGGCTGCAGTGAGCTGTGATGCCACTGCACTCTACCAGGGTGACAGAGTGAGACCCCGTCTCAGTGAAAAAAAATAATAATGACTTCCAGAGTCACAGTGAGGGAGGGATCAGATCCCGGGTGGGAACGTTCTTCTCCCACCTCAGAAGCACTCTCTCCGCCCCGGCTCGGTGGGTCGGCGGCATCATTCGTTCCCTCCCTCGCTGCCTCCACCAGGCTCAGGGCTCTGGCTGACGGAGCTGAGGCAAGGTCCCTGCTCGCCCAGCCTTCCCTTTCTAGGGAGGAACTTTGTTTTTAGTTGTCCCCTGCCAGGAGCCAACGGACAGCCTCAGTGGCCCTATACCCCTCCCCACGTCCCTTCCCAAGGGTGCAGGCCTGGACTCCCCTCCGCTGGGGGCTCCTGGGGGCAGGAGGCCAGTTCTGGGCTGCGATGTCTCCCTGCCAGGCCCTTCTGTGGTCCACGGTTGTGCCGCTGATCCCTCGATGATGGGACCGGCGTGGACCAGCCCTCCTGGGGCCCTCTGCAGCCAGCTCTGATGCCACCCTCACTCAGCACAAGTACCTGCCGAGCACCTGCTGGGGGCCAGGCTCTGTGCTCCGGTTGGTGAACAGGACAGGCAAGGGCCCTGCCTCAGGGAGCTGACGTCAAGCCGAGAGGCAGACTCGAATCAAAGGAAACACGCGTCAAAGTGCACTTGCGGGCCAGGTGCGGTGGCTTATGCTTGTAATCCTAGCATTCTGGGAGGCCGAGGCAGGAGGATCGCTCAAGGTCAGGAGTTCGCAATCAGCCTGAGCAAGAGCGAGACTTCGTCTCTACTAAAAATAGAAAGAAACTAATTGGCCAACTAATATACATAGAAAAAATCAACTGGGCATGGTGGTGCATGCCTGTAGTCCCAGCTACTCGGGAGGCTGAGGCAGGAGGATTGCCTGAGCCCAGGAGATTGAGGTTGCTGTGAGCTAGGCTGATGTCACGGCACTCTAGCCCGGGCAACAGAGTGAGACTCTGTCTCAAAAATAAAGTGACTTGCGATTAAGGCGGCACTTAGGGCCACCGGGCCACAGGGATCTGAACGGCCTCCCTGTGGAGGGAAAGGCTGGGCCCGTGTCAGTGCTGCCTTCCTTTGTACGTGCTGGCCCTATAGGGGTGAGGTCCAGGCCCCTCTCCCTGCTGTTTGGCTCAACCCAAGAGCTAAGGTTCTCCAGGAAACCCTGAGGCGCTTTGGTTTCAGCTCTTAAGATAAAAAGGTCTCCCCAAGGTCTAGCTGGCTTTCCTGATAGTGAAGGATGAGGGGGACCCCCTCCTCCTCTCCTGGTCCCCGCTCCAGCCTAGGCTGGGCCACTCTGTGCTGGAAGGTGCATCTTGGGAATCTGAGCAGGATCCTGCATTCTCCTCTGTCCTGCATGTGGGAGGCCATTCATTCATTCATTTGTCCATCTGTCTATCCATTCACCCACCGACCCGCTTACCTGCCCATGCATTCATCCATCCATCCACCCATCTATCCATTCACCATCTACCCATCCACCCATCTACCCATACTATCCACCCATCCTTCCACCCACCCATCCATCATTTATCCATCCATTTACAAATACCATCCATCCTTCCACCCAACCACCCACCAAGCCATCCACCCGTCCATTCATCCATTCACCCACCTGTTCATTCTTATTTTCACTGAACACGTGAACCAACAATGTGAGTTCTGGGAAGAGAATTGTGGAGGAACCAGACATGGGCACGCAGAGCAGGCAAGAAATAGAAACAAATGAACACAGAAATTCCACCTGGAGTCAGTGCAGTGGAGAAACCAAACAGGTGTGGTGACAGAAACGTACGTGCTGGGAGGGGGAGGGACAGAAGGTGGACTGAATAACGACCCCTAAAGGTGTCCTGGTCCCTAGATCCTGAGAACATGTGACCTTACATGGCCAAAGGGACTCTGCAGATGGGATCGAGTTAAGGATCCTGAGCTGAGGACATTATCCTGGAATATCCAGGTGGCCCCATGTAATCACAAGAGTCCTTGTGTGACGGAGGCCAGAAATCAGAGTGAGTAGCAGGAGAGTGATGTGAGGGAGGGGCCCCAGCCAACAACGCAGGCTGCTTCTAGAACCTGCAAAAGGCAAGGACATGGACAGTCCCCAGCCAGCCCTGCCGACACCTTGGTTTTAGGTTCCTGGTCTCTGGAACTGTTAGGAGAATACACTTGTGTTGTCTGAGCCGCCACGTTGGTGGTCATTTGTTACAGCAGCAACAGGAAACTGACGCAGGGCGGGCGCCAGGCTGGTTTAGTCGGGGCAGAGCTGGAAGCTCTTTCTACAGAGACGATGCTTGAACTGAGACCTGCAGGAGGAGGAGGAGGAGGAGAAGGAGGAGGAGTAGGAGGAGGAGGAGGAGGAGGCAGTGCCTGCAGAGTCCTCAGGAAAGCAGGAAAGCCTTGCAGGGTCAGGAATGGGAGTGCAAAGGCCCTGAGGCAGGAAGGATTAGGCGTGGCTGGAGAGCAAGAGGGCAGGGTGCAGGCTGGGGAGGAGGGTCGCCCGTGGGCACAGCCCCTGCAAGCCCAGGCGCAGAGCTGCCTCCCCGGAGCCTGAGGTCAGGGCATTCCAGTTTCCCATCTCTCGTGTTTGAGACGCTCCCCCACTTCCCCGATGCCTGCATACTGCCTGACTGTGTCCACTGCTCCCCTTTCCCCTGGCTGCTACCCTGTTGCTGGCCTCTGCCACCAAGACTCCCCACTGGAGCCTGGGTTCCCCGTCTGCCCCCAGCCGGCGCCTTCCTCAGTGTGGGCGACCCGCCGTGTGCACCCCTGTCCTGCCACCTCCAACCCCAGAGTCAGCGTTGGTGCAGGGCTTGGTCTACCTCGTCCTCAGGCACCAGCCCCGCCCCTGCCTGCAGCAAAGCCCAGACAACACATCCTTCCACCTGTGACCGTTTCAGCACGAGACCAGTGAGCGACCTTTGACAGGTTCACGGTAGCCTTCTCATACCTAAAAGTGGAGAATAATAATTCCTTAAAAATCATTAACCACTTCGGTACGGCGCTCACCGGCCGGGAAACCTTGCCCACAGCCGGCACTCATAGTCTGCATGGTAGTTGGTGCTGTGCATTGACGATGGATCCGTTTTGCTCTTGTGTGATGAGTAAAACTTTAAAGCACTGAAAGCTTGTTTTACTTTATAGGCAGCTTTACTTGTAACGTAAATCAAAATAAGTAACATACACATATATGTTTTCATTACCTTATTCTTAAGTGTTCACAATTTTATTTTGATAAATGAAAAATTAGAAAAGTCATATCACGGCTGTCGGCTAAAGTCACTGTGTGCGTTCATCTGTGGCTGTCGACTACAGCCGACGCTCGTACCGAAGTGGTTAAACATCTGGTGTTCAGATTTCTGTCTTTCTTTCTTTTCACAGTTAAGTGTGTGTGAATCAGGAGCCACGAAAGGCCACCCCCAGGGGCTGAAGAGCTCCTGAGTGTCCCTCGCTCTGCCCCCATCTCTCTCCCTCCCAACCTCCTCTCCCACCCCGAGCTGGGACAAGAGGCAGACACATCACACGGTTTGGGAAAAAGGGTTCACACGGGGTTGGTGGGCAGAGGGACGGCCACTGTGCCTGGCCAGCGCCCACGTGGGCACGGGAGCCTCGGAGGCCCGGGAGGGGCCATCTGGGCACCGCAGGCCTGGAGGAGGAGCTCGCGGAGAGGTCTGGCCACCGCGGCCGGGCCCCGCCTTACTCGCCTTCCAAACCTGAACCAAAGCTGTGGTTCTCCCTCTAACCCGGT